CCACGGAGCAGCTGGTAGTTTTGAACTACTGACCTTGCAGTTTGCAGCCCGATTTGTAACCACGACGCTACCAGAGCTCCTTGGTAGGAGGGGGTAGATGAAACAAAATTGGAAAAATGTTGATTACGATCACTTCCAGCAAGATGGCTGACTAGGCAGGTCTACTATAACAAAGATATGAGAGATCAAAGAAAACAGGCACAGATGAAAATTCTGGCACCCGGAACTTCAGAAGAAAGGTTAGCGAGGGGGATGGAGGGTTTGCTGGGGGAGAGGCCGAGCAGGTACGGTGAGAGAGGTAGACTGGCTGGTGACGAGCAGGCCACACGGGCTAGACCATCTTGGAGCAGCTTTGGTAGTGGAGGGGGGCCTGGCCTTCACACGGGCAATGGAAAAGGTTTGATTTCTTTCCCCCGACATTCCCCTAGTGACCAGGGGTGTGGACAGCTCCCACCCTCATCCTCCCCCAGCCCAGACCCCACTCTCTGGGAGTTCAGAGCTACGTGTTTGGTGTGAGATGGGGGCCGGCTGCACCGCTTTGGTGTGCCTCTTTGGTGTCTGGTTTCCAGTGGGCTCAGCTCCAGGTCTATAAAACCTGCAGAGCCCCCAGACCAGCGTTTAACCAGTCCCCCCGCCCCCAGCTTCCCTAGGGTCCTAACAGACCCTGAGACCAGCTCCACCAAGGGCCCCCACAAACTCCTTCTGGACTGAGTGCCCTGAACATGGAGTTCTGAGGCCAAGAGGTCCTCCCAGCCAGGCCAAGAAGCCTGCTGTCACATCCCTTTCCACTACCATTCCATGAGCTCCTGAATTGCAGGCACCCACCCAGAGATTTCCCCTCTCTGGGTCCAGCAACTGCCCTGTTTGCTTTTATAAATACTTACAACCCCACAATGCCCCAAAGACAACAGACAATTTTCGCTCACAAGAAGAAACGAGAGAATGGCTCAAACAAATGACCAAGATGCAGAGCAGAAAACATTTCTGAGGAAGAGAGGTAACAAAACTGACTGAAAAAGAATTCCAAAGAATGATCATTGGGCGCCTTCAAAGCGTCAATAGAAAGATCAAGGAAAGCAAGGAGAACACAATAAAAACTTCAGAAGAATTCAGGGAAACACTAAGAACAAACAGACAAAATTAATGCAATTTTTGAAATAATGCAAAAGCTACATTTAGAAATCCAGAAAATTAATACTAAGATCTCAAAAAATGGACAATACATGGAAAGATCAAAGGAGTAGACGCAAAGCAATGGAAGCCTGAATTAGTGAGCTTGAAGAGAAATCTCTCAATAGTAGTATGCTGGAAGGACAATCAGAGAAAAGAGTTCTGTGGGACACCATGAAGAGGAACAACTTATAGGTGATTAGAATCTAGAACAGACAATAAAAACCACAGAGGAAATTGTCAAAGAGTTGTTGGAAGGAAACTTCCCTAATATCATGAAAGAAAAGGAGCATACAAGAAACGGAATGAACACCAAACAGGAGAAAGACAATCACCAAGACTTACTAGAATCAAGCTTTCCAGAATCAAAAACAAGGAAAGAATCCTGAGAGCAGCTCAGGAAAAATGAAGTTGCCTACAAAGGAGAACCAGTAAGACTAAGCTCTGATTTCTCAACAGAAACCATGCAGGCAAAGTGGCAATGGGATGACATACACAAAACTCTGAAAGAAAGATGGCCAACCCAGAATCCTATACCCAGTCAAGCTGTCCCTCAAACATGACTGACGTGAAATTAGAACATCTCCTCAGAAACAGAAATCAAAGGGATTTGTAATGACTGGACCAACGTTCAGCCGAGACCCAACAATAGCAGACAACAACCTGCGGTTACTGTACATGACAACACCACCCACAACTCAATCCAGATAGTTGTTGTTAAGTGTTGTCGAGTCACTTCCAACTCATAGTGATCGTGTATAGGTTTTCCGGGGAGAAGCTGGTAGCTTTGAACTAACCTTATTATGGTTCACAGTCCAGTGCTGACCTACTACTATACTATACCATACTAGCAATCCAGATATAGAAGTATTTAAAGGCAAACAAACCTATTGTTGCTGTTATTGTTAAGTGCTGTTGAGTCGGTTCTGACCCATAGCGACCCTGAATAGGATTTCTGAGGAGCAGCTGGTGAGCTTGAACCACTGACCCTGTGATTCAAACTGACTTTGCAGTCGGGCACATTAACCCACAGCACCACACCAGGACTCCTAAAATCCGCAAGGCTGAAAATAGGGAACCCGAGATAGCAATGTATAATAAAGTCGACTACAAAGCAAAAAAACAGAATAGTGTAGATGCAGAAACTTCCAAATGGCAAGGAAGTCAAGTAGATTTTAAGATAAAACAGACTGTTTTCAGCAGGGAAAAGGAATTACTAATACACCTGGGTATCAAGTTAAAAGAAAGAAAGAAAATCAGTAAGATTTAGTAAGCATTAATACAACAGAAATGAAAATAAAAACTCACAAATGAAACGAGAACAGCATAGTAAACTATGTGGAATAAAGAACCTAGCAGCGCCATGAAAAACCCCACAGAAAGATGCCAACAATCAATTTATAGCTATTGAATACGTGGATTGAATGTACCAGTCAATAGACCCAAAGATCAGACTGGATAAGAAAACTGGATCCTTCAACACACTGTCTGCAAGAGACACATGAAAAAGATGGAGGCAGCCTAAAAGTTCAACAACAGAAAAATGGTTAGAATAAACTTCGGTACACACACACAATGGAATACTATAAACACTGATGAATAATGATGACTCTGTGAAATTAATCAATCACAGGAGAGCAAATGTGTGGCAGCAATGTTCTAGAAGCTTGAAAAGGGGTTTTCTTGATGAAAGCAACAATCTGTGATGTTTGTGGGGTGGGAAGGACGAGGGGGAAATTGTTCATGGGCCAGAGGGTGGCCACATGTTAACATGGAGGGAGACACGTGGAAGAATGCAATGGCTAAAGACAATAGAGGTCAGTGCTGTTAGCTGTTGGTACGTGGAGGGGATTGCAACTGTGTAGTGAAGCAAAGTGTATGGTTTGTTGAATGTGAAACTGATGATCTGCCTTGTGGACCTTCACTCAATTTACAATCAAAAGTGAAAAAAAAAAAAAAAAAAAATGATGGTGACCCTGAGACCAGAAGAACTAGATGATGTTGGGCTACCATTAGCAAGCATTCTGTTCAGGCCCACAATGGATGGGACCTGATAGAATGGGAGAAAAATGTAGAACCGAACTCAGATTCTTTTTTAAAACCTTCCCTGACTTACTGGATCAGTCAACACTAATGAAGTGTCTGAGATTATCAGCCTGCGATACTCTTTAAATGGAAACGGTCCAAAGGTCACCTTTTAGTGAAATAACAGACAGACACACTAGATGAAGGATATTACGCTGGATTACATCGCTCTATTCACATGGCATCTCTCTGAGACCAACAAGGAGCTCTGGTAGTATAGTGGTTACGAATCGGGCTGCAAACCTCAGGGTCAGCAGTTCGAAACTACCAGCGGTTCCGTGGGAGAAAGATGAGGCTTTCTGCTCCTGTAAAGATTTACAGCCTTGGAAACCCTGTACAGGGTCGCTATGAGTCGGAACCGACTCCACGGCACAGAACCACCACCACCTCTGAGGCCAACAAGTTGTTAACAACAACAAATGGTTACTTTCAGTGACGGGTACTTGGGAGTTCATTAGACCTACTCTCTCTACTTTGACATGCTTGAAAAGGTCTATCATCAAGTTTTTTAAACTTTGGAAAAACAGACATCACTTTGAGAACTAAGGTGTGCCACAGCCAAGTCATGGTATCTTCAATGGCCTTATATGTATGCTGCTAAAGCTGGACAAGGAGTAAGGAAGCCTGAAGAATTGATGCCTTTGAATTCTAGTGTCGGCGAAGAACGTCTTAAGGACTTCCAGAAGAACAGATCAATCTGTGTTAGAAAAAGAACAGCTAGGATGTTCCTTAGACGCCAGGATGGCGACATTTCACCTCATGTACTTTGGACACATTTCCAGGAGGGGCCAGTCGCTGAACAAGGACATCATGCTTGTGAAACAGAAGGTCAGTGAGAAGAGGACGAGCTCAACGACATGGGATGACAGTGGCCGCAACAGCGAGCTGACACGTAGGCCTGATTCTGAGGGTGACTCAGGACAGCAGTGTGCTCTGTTGGATGCAGGGCCACTATGGGTCAGACCAAGTTCAGGGTACCTACCAATACCAACAGTGAGTTATAACCTGGGAACAGAATTGGAATCTCTGAGTTTCTGTGGGTAATCATCATCGGGCAGACACATGGAGAAAGAGAGCGTGGCAGACGCGGACTGGGGCCAAGGTGGGCACTCTCCATTCTGCTGCCAACCTGCTGGGATGCATCGAGGGAGGGTTACAACATCAGAAGATGAGGTGGACACGTGCCTCATGAGGACAGACAGACACAGGGTCCTTAGGTGAGCATGGGGAGGCTACAGCGTCACCTCTGTAGATGTTTGTCTGTTCCCTAAGACACAGCATGTCTAACGTAATTGAGGAACGTTCTGGAAGATAATTAATGGGTGTTCTCAAACATGTCAACTATTCTAGACTAACGAGCACCGAAGAGATGTAACAGATGTCACGAGCGAGCGCAGAGGCTGGGAAGCCCGTTGCTGGGCCGAGGGACAAGACACAGAGCATGGGGTCAGAGCAGGTGCCCTCACATCCGCTGCTGTGAGCCACTCTGAGGGTGCCCGCTAGCGCTCAGGCGGATGAGGAGTGGGACGCGGCAGAGAGAAGCTTTATGGGGAAGGGCGAGCTTAAGCAATCAATCAAATGTGACAGCACAGTGGAAACCAGAGCAGCTGCTGCGTTCCAGTGTTCTTGCAACTTCTCAGTTTGAAATGATTTCTAAATAAGGAAGGTAAACCCCAAAGCCCAGGTACAGACCAGTTGAGGGTCTCAGCTGTTGGTGGGCTCCCTCCCGGGGGTCGGGCCCTCACCATCTGATGCTCCCCAAGCTGTAGAAAGTGCTCCACCAGGAAGCCGAAGACGTCACCCACACGGACGGTGCTGTCCAGGCCCGGCTCGTCCAGCAGCAACTCACACTGCCGCACAGCCTCCTTGGGGTCGTCGGTGTAGGTCCTGTGGACAGACATGTGCCAGGCCCTCATCCAGGAGGCCAGCTGCTGCCATTCACAGACTCCCTACCCTGGAGGAGGGGCTCCCAGGCCCGTGGGAGGAACATTTTGTGAACGAAATTTTCCATGAACTGCGTGTTTGTTTTCAGCCCATCACTGCAGGCTACTAGATGCTGGAACCTGGGACCATGGTCTGTGAGCCAGCCCAGCCTCAGGGCACTATGGCAGTGGGCACAGGGGAGACGGGCACACACAGCAGGACTCGGCCCCACAGGCACCTGAGGAGGGGGAGATGAGGCGTGGGCTCCAGGACAGTGCAGGACTCCACCCAGCACAGTGTGGGGACAGAGGGGCTTGGCTAGCGGACGGAACGGAGGAGGAAGTGTGGGTGAGCAGAACCAGGCCTGCAGTTGGACAAGGAGGTTAAGGCTGCTCCTTCCGCCCACCGCTCCGGGAGACCACACAGGCCCCAACATGATCCCCAGAGGAGGTCCCCCAGAGTCTCGGGGACCCCCTGAATGAGAGCGCTCACGCTTCTGCCACTCACCTGCGAGCCTGGATGAAGCGCTTCACCAGGGTCATCTTGCTCTGCAGCTGCGCCAGCTTGGCCTCCTGGTCCAGCGGGCTCTTGGCCTTGGCCTTGGACAGGCACTTGTAGGCCTCGGTCAGCGCCCCGTGGGCTTTGTCGTAGTTCTGGTACTCGTCAATCTCTACCTGCACAGATGGGGTCTCAGAACCTGCGGGGCTCCATGCCTCCATCCATGCCCCAAGACCCCCGGGACCCAATGGGGCACCTTGCTCCCGTCCACACACCCAGACACCCCAGAACCCAGTGGGGCACCTTGTTCTCCTCCATGCCCCAGAACCCCTGGGACCCAATGGGGTACCTTGCTCCCGTCCACACACCCAGACACCCCAGAACCCAGGGGGGCACCTTGTTCTCCATACCCCAAGACCCCCGGGACCCAATGGGGCACCTTGCTCGCATCCACACACCCAGACACCACAGAACCCAATGGGGCACCTTGTTCTCCTCCATGCCCCCACAACTCCTGGGACCCAATGGGGCACCTTGCTCTCATCTACACCCCCAGACACCTCAGAAACCAATGGGGCTCATGTCTGCTTCCACATCCTCCAGATATCCATAACCCCACAGGACTCTATTTCCCCCCTCAATGCCCCCAAAGACACTCAGGACACCAGGGGCACTGTGGTGTAGTGAATTGTCTACTGTCTCTCCTAGCCACAGTCTGTAACTCACACCAAGCCACATTTCTGCCGTGCTGGGTTTGGGTAAGAAAAGGTGGGAGAAGATGCTCTTAGAATAACATGATTCCGCTGTGGAAGTCGGCAGAGTTAACGGCAAAACTCGGAACTTAGGCAGGGCTATAAAATGAACCATCTCAGAAGCAGAAGGGGAGATCTTACTGTATCAAAGGAAAGCCAGGAGAGGAGCGTGTCCTTTGGACCCCGAAAATCCTACACAGTGAACCTCCCTAACCCAGGGACAGGAAGCTGTGATGTGGCAGGAGGGGCCGAAGAGCAGCAGGAGAACCAAGAACCAAACAGTAAGGAAAGCTGAGTGGCTTTGGGCAGGAAGCTTGCTTGTAAAGTGGGGTGCTTCTAGACACTTCAGCGGGGGACGTAGGTTCTGCTGACTACAGAGGTAGAGCCCAGTGCCTTCAGGCTGCATGTCTTGTGACAGGAACAATAGTTCTGACCCTGATTTGTAACCTGTTCAACTTCCCAAATCAATCCCATGACTGTGAGTCTGGTGTCTGACTTCTGTGTGGTCACTGCAATGGCTTACTGAGTCCAACAGAGATGCAGTGGGAGGAATGGGGGAACTTCAGATTTCTGTAGGCTCCAACTTCCCCCTCCATGCCCCTCAGGATGCCCATGATCCCCTGGGGCTCATGTCTTCCTCCACACACCTCAAGATGCCCAGGACCCCGCAGAGAGCCACGTCCCCCTCTAGACACCCTGGATCGCTCAGGACCCTGTGGGGCTTCATACACCTCAGGTTCCATGCCTTCCAGGCCACTATGAAGTCTTTGCCTCCCTACACAACCCCCGGAACCCCAAGGGGTCCCTGCTCCCACAGAAGCTCCCCCAGAGAGGATGGGCACCTGGGCACAGGCATCATAGAAGCCAGCCAGGAGGTCCAAGGCCCGGCCTTTGGTGTAGAAACTGATGATGTTCTTCATGATCTCAGGTTCTTTCTGCCAGTCAAGTGACTGCAGGTAATTAGCGGCCATGATGTAGATTTCCTTCTGCCGGGACACGCCCGCAAAGAACACGATCTTCTCCGTGTCCCCAGATTTGAGCAGAGCCCTCATTGCCTGGATGGGAGTATGGGCTGGTCAGCACCCAGGAACTCCCACCACACAGACAGGAGCTGAAAGTCCACACTGATGTGTGAATGTCTAAACAGCTGTGAGAAGGAGGCTCGGCCCCCAGCGCCCCACCCCTGGGACATGTGCCTGAAAGTTGCCCCTGCCCCCCTGGGGCACCCCCCTGTGGCTTGCCTCTGCCCCCCTGGAGCTCCCACCTTCAGCTTGCCCCTGCCCCCCGCCCCGGAGCGCCCACCTTCAGCTTGCCCCTGCCTCCCCAGAGTGCCCACCTGCAGCTTGCCTCTGCCACCCTGTAGCGCTCCCTGCAGCTTGCCCCTACCCCCCTGGAGTGCTCACCTTCAGCTTGCCCCTGCCCCCCTGGAGTGCCCACCTTCAGCTTGCCCCTGCCACCCTAGAGCG